CAAACGAATCCTTTGATTTTAGTGAACAGATCCAGCCTTTCCCCTTTGGGCTCAAGGGTGACCTACTTCAAACAGTTCAACCATTAAATCCTTTTTCTTTTTTAAAGTGAACCAAACTTTTAAAGTTCTCTGGCAGATCATTATGCTGTTAAGCAAGCATGGGCAATGTTGTTTAATATAAGGTTTGTAGTGGTGGTGATAAAGAACTTTAATAAGCTGAGGAGAAATATGCAGCTGAGGAAACTTTTGCTCAAGATATGCTTTGAGCTGGTGTTAGCAAACTTGAAAAATATCCATTTAGAACTTGTGCATATATAGCCAGAAAAGCTGCAGGCTGAGCCTCTCTAACTCCACATCACTGCACCTACTGCTCTGTCGGCGTGGATCCATTTAATAAGGGCAACATGATGTCGGGTTTGACTTGAGCGTGGGTTGCCATGTTCGGATATTTGTTATCAAATAATGCAGTTAATCCCCAGATCTATTGTAAAACAGGAAAATGTCTTGGCAGCTTGTTGTCTCACTCAACATTTGCATCATCTGCATTGTGGAAATGGACTGGAGCTTGGAGAGCGCATTTCTAGTCTCATGACTACTCAAACAATTCTGGGTTTCAATGCTTGTCTATTATTGGTCTATATTTTTTATAGTGGGGGTTGGAGTAATTGATTTCTGTAAAAAATGTTATGATTCAGAGCCATTATTTAGCTTTTCATTTAGCCAATAAATAGGCTTTTTGAGCTATTTGCACGATAACCGCTTACAATGATGTAGTTGGCAAAGCATTTTTAAACTAACCATTCGGCGATTATTTTAAATAAATAATTGTAGGCAGTGCAGCAGCTTCTCCGAGATAGAATGATGATAATTTTGTAATTACTGTACATAGCACAGACTCTTGCACTTTCTGCTTATCTGCACTTCTGGTGAGATGCCAAACCTCATTTCATTACTCTATACTTGTATATGTGTAATGACAATAAAGTTGAATCTCATCTCATCTCATGACTGGACAAAACTCCAGTTCTATATAGAAGTACTAACCCCAATGGTAAATGGACTTGAGCTTGTACAGCGCTTTTCTTGTCTTCTGACTACTCAAAGCACTTTTGCACCTCATGTCACACCTAACACATTCACACACTGATGGAAGAGGTTGCTATGTAGTGAGACCGTCAGAAGTAACTAATCACATTCATACACATTCATACACATTCATACGCGGCCGCCGATGAAATAAAATAGAGCCAAGAGTCACAGGTCCCCTTTCAATCAACAATAGTAAATAGAAAAATAAATCTGAAAGTGGTGGAGAGCCAAACAGAATGAGCTTAAGAATGTTCCATCTTAAAATATAGTCTACACAAAGGAGGTTGTTCCTGTTCTTTGGCAGTATAGGTAAGAAAGCAAGAGAGATGACTGGGTTCAGTCTGAGGGTCACGCTCACTTTAGCATCGCTACAAGGCCAGAGAAACCTTTTTTCCCCATGAAAGCTTTCAGAACTGTCACACCTGCTTAGGTCTGTAACACCACCCCAACCTCCTCCTCACCCTCCTCTGTTCCCAATTCCCACTTCACCATCCACCACTCGTGAAAAAAAGGCACTACCCTCATCCAATTTCCCACACTTTCTTTGTCCCTGTCATGCTCATAAGGTTATAAGATGGTATGATCAATGTCTCCAGGACTGCATGTAAAAAAGAAGGGTTTGCAAGGTTAAAGAATGAGATTGAATCCTCTGACTTTATGTAATTTTTCATAGATGTTTTGATGAATATATTGCGGAGCATGTGGAGCTTTATGCTTCTCTTACTGTAAAGTAGTTTTAAATGCATTGTGGGAGTCTTTTTCCACCACTTGCAGTGCTAGGAAAATCCATTAGTGAGGACACTTACTTGTTCTGCTTGTGCTGCAAAAAAAAAAAGCGAGAAAAAAAAAAAAAATGGCACAGATCCAGTGGCCAAAAACAATAATTTACCCTCTTAACAAAGAGGAGGGCAAAAAAAAAAAAACATATCAGGTAAAAATCATAATGCCTGTCATGCCAATTAATAAGTAAGATGATACTTAAGATTGTGTTAATTCTGACCTGGCTAATTTAGTTTGATAGCCATTGTAGAAATGACTGAGGTCCCTTTTGTTAAAAAAACAAACAAACTGTAATAGATCATTTTACAGCAAAAAGGTTAGGGTGCTTAATGCCCTACCCGCGATCCTGTTACAGTCATTACAGCTTTTATGTGGATGCCTTTATTCCAACCTTTAGTGCACAATCTTCTTACATTAAAGATAAAGTATGTGAATATGCTCCTGGAACAGGCAAACTCCCCTGACCTTAAGAGTGACACAAAAATGAAGACAACACAATCATGTGTCTCTTCTCAAAGGCATTTGCTTGTGTTATCCAAGGTACCACTATCACATACATTATTTTGCAACAACAACATTGCACTATCCTTAAATGTTTTAAATAGTTTCCTCTATTAATGAATATTAAAATGACAAATTTGACTAATATAGCAGTCAAAAAAGGCCCAAAATTGTTTTACTTGCACTTATTATGAGGACACAAAAGGACTCCAATTGGATGATGCTATGTATGTACTATGTATGTATATTGCTAATGCTAACAGGTTTTTACCTTTACTTTGCGTGTCAATTGTCTAAGCGTCTCTTTTTTCCCCCACAATATCAATATCTATTGTATACCTTTTGTAGAAAATAAGAAAAGTGAAAGAAGAAATATTCATATCCTGTTTGGATAAATGCACTGTTTCTGGAAGAGTGAATAGCTTCTTTTTATTTTTTTTAATCGAATGTTGCAGTGTGTTGCAGGCCTTAGTAGAAGTCTGACAAATTTCTCACAACCTGGATTGATAAAAGCAAAATGTCTGCACGACAAGGCTGAGAAACACTGACAGTAGCATGATTCATTCTGTAAAAAGAGGTTTCTATATTAAAAAACCCATTTCGGGAGTTTTACTCTCTAAAACAACACCATATAATTCTATAAAATGATTTAAAGATTCCTTATCAGCATGGATAAAGAGCATTCAAAAACTTGCACTGATGATAAATAGATATAAGAAATGTACACAACTGATTATTGGTTAAAATCGACTTGGTTAAGTTGGGTTGTGATGACTTTGAAGCATTTTATGCTCCATAGATGAAATGTCTTTTAACCACCAGGAGACGTACTGTACATTTATAATCAGTTATACTGAAGTTACAGCAGGGAGCTGCAGACTGTCCAAATAGGATCTCTGGGACTGTTTTTATTTTATTTTATATTTTAAGCATTGATAGCACTTATTCTGAAGTAAGACATTATTGTGATGCTGATTCTGTCACATAAACATCAGCTCACACGCCTTTAAAACTTGGTATGGTGATAAACAGGGAATCAAGGTAGCAGAGAAATGGACAAGAGTAAAACAAATTGTATTCTCAATAAAAAAATATTGCATGGTATTTAGTCAAAAATTGTATTAAAGCTTCTAGAAATATAGATTGAATGTATATAATGGTCACATGCAAAGATCTAAAATTGTGGCAGTCTATATAGGCCTTGTGCTCCCCCTTCCATCTGCCCCTGTATGTTAAAGGCCCAGAGAAGTCCACACAAGCAGAAGGAAGGAGCGCAAGCTAACAGATTGGAACTCCTCCACCTGCCAAGAGAAGTAAGTCTTCCTTTTATGAGCCAATTGAAATTCAGCTCACAGACTATCCATTCTGTCAATGACTAGAGGAGTCAGGACAACCTTGCAACCCCCAACACTAATAACACTGTTACGGTCAGAGATAGATCAAACTGAACGCTGATAGTTAGAGTGGGTCTTCGGCCTCCCATAAGTGTTTATCGCTGACAATTTTTGCTCTCATTTGTTTTGAGCAAAAACATTCATTGGTACAGCTGTGGCCGATCATTACAGCTTTCACTCCGGCATGCAGACTGCAGTTTTTGCCGTTTAGTCAAAGAGCATCCATCTGCAAATAATGCATACAAGTGCATGTGCTTAAAGATCCAATACACAGAGAATGGTCGGCTCTTGTTTTGTATTCATTAGACCAGCTCCAACCTCTGACCCCTTTTGCTCCATTCAATGGCGTGACAGGTTCATTACCACAAACTGAATTGGAGGAATCAATCCTTGAGAGTCTTTTTTTTCCGAACGTTCTCCTCACTGTGCTTTTCACTTGCATATAAGTGTTTTTGAATCAATACAAGTGGAGAGGAAAAAGGGGGGATTAGTCTCAGAACAGGCTTCTTCTGCTAATGGATCCAGTTTCAGCAGCATGACTTTGCTATGACTTGCTCTGCCACTAAGAGGCAGTAGAGCCTGAGATGAAAGTACCACATCTTTATGTCACCCTGATATTGAGATAATACAAATATCTATCTATCATTATAGATGTGATGGCACTTTCTGTGAGTAAGAATACTCTTTAAAAAAGTTCCCCTGTTTAAGATATAGGCCTAGTGGTAGCCTAAGCCTAGTAGTCAGAAACCACTCACACTAGAATTGTTATGAGTCTCTATGTAAAGATATAAAAACACAAGCCTACCAAAGAAAGAATAATACATCTACACTATTATTCTGTTACCCTTACCCATAAAAGTTATCATGGTCCAGCCTATTCTTTATTGAACATAGGCTACATTACAATAAACATGAAAATTAATTGACACCATTAGACCTATTATTATGATGTTGTCTTACTTTGAATCACATGTGGCTCTGGTAGCCTATGCAGATATGTTTTTTTTTTCTGTGTATACATGTGTTTCCCCGTATTGAAATGAAGCTAGTACTGGGAACTAAACAGAATTTAATAGTCAAAATAGACCATTTTCAAAAGCCTGATGGCGAACCACACAATGGAAAAACCCGCGGGCAGGGCACACCCATTCCACTACAGATATCTGATAGTTGGATTATCTCGACTGGAGGCGGCGCATATCAAACACAACAAGCGACGCAGTAGGCGGCGTCAGTCCGGAGAAGTACGTCCTTCTGAGCTCACTTCCGCCGGCTTGAATCGGACCCGATATCCTTTGCACCGCTTTTGTTCTCCCATTTCCACCCAGACCGACGCTGTCGAACGGAGGGAGCCATCCGGTGAGGGAGACCACGCCGAGTAGCGGAGCACAGAACACGTCAGGCAGCCACATGCAAAGCGAAGTCTGCAACCAAGGATACGCCGCACTCCGTCGTTACATAAGTGGACTACTTCTACTTCTGTTTTTTTGTTTTTGTTTTTCTTCAAGCTTTTTGGTTCAACCGAACTGTCACACACTCTTTTAACCCCAAAATGGAGAACGACGAGAAATACCTCCCCGAGCTGCTGGCGGAAAGGATAGCCTGGATTTGTCGTTCACACACGCCACGAAACTTTTGAACACAGGTGAAGTAGCCTACTGTTGTTGGTTGTCGTGTTCACCATGTTTTTTTAACGTTTTGATTTTGAAGAAGGGGCATTACAGTTGTCGTGAAGTTTTTTACGCATGGGACTGCCTCGGCATGTCATTAATGAATCAATGAGTGTGTGTGATACATCATGGATACTTAAAAAAAGGATACATAAAAGGATACTTAAAGGATGTAAGGGATAATGACGTGTCTGAGAGTTTGAAAGCCTGACGCTTTCAAAACACCAGAGAAAGAAACACTCTTTCAAATATCATTGAAGATAATTCCCAGCTACCTCTCAACGCAGCTGCGACGTTTCCAATTGTTTACTTCAGTGTCAACTTGGCGAAGAAAGGCTCTATTGGTTATTACTTTCGCGCCCCTGCTGATGTCGTTTTCTTGCAGACACGTTTCGCATCAGTCTATAAATCTACGCCACTGTCCGTGACTCGGGTGGGGGGGGGGGGGGTCACCTCGCATGTGTGAGCCGAGAGGCGGCCTGGTAGCGGGGACAAAACTCCTCATGTCCCTCCGTCTCCTTGAGCGACTGCACTGCGAATCGTTCCCCTAGTTGTACAGGAGAAGAGACCAAATAAACTACTGTTGTTGTTGTTTTTTTGTTTTGTTTATATCTCTGCTCATCATTTAGCTCAGAAAAAAAGTATTCTATTGTTTTCTATTTTTCAGTGACTTTGTAGGTCTAATATAATATGCATGTCTTTTTTTTTTTAAGCTTGCCTGTTGTGAAATGCATGAATTAAAAACATGAATAATTCAAAGAAAGAATATCGTCATTGATAGTGACTGACAATCTAATATATATTCTGTTATTATTATTATTTTACCAAGCTAATTCGAAAACGGTTTGCTCATTTATTTTTTATTTTTTGGAGTATAAGGAAATGTCAAATTTGATTAAAAAAAACTGTGTCTGCCTGATAAGTCATTTAAAACTCAGGAACATTTTATTTCCATTGATTTGATAATAGAAAAAAAAGGTCAAAAAGACATTTTTTTTTTTTTTAAGTATCACTGGGAAAACATAGTTGACAGCTCTTGAATAATCACCTAACTGTTCAAGCTTTTTCTGGGTGTTTACAAATCTTAGAAGTTGCTTCATGAAACAAATTAGTTACACCCTGTGTTTTATTTACCTGGAAGCTCAAACTGATTCATGTTTTGCGCCCTAAAAAAAAGTTTGTCTATCATATATTTTTGTTGCCATTGGAATTAAAAGCGAGAGTTACTTTCTAGATGCCTTTTATATTGAATGAATGTGACTGACATGCTCGCAAGGAAGCTTGACTTTTATATGGCGATCGCTCGTGACAGGCAAATCTCTAGTTTAATCTGTTAAAAAAAATACGTGTGAAACGGGCCATGTGTACTTGGCCCCTTGAAACCTTGTATGATTGTGTGTGATCACTTTGCCTAAAACAGACTCTCTCCCTCTTTAGAAATTGATAGAATCCAGAAAGGCGAGACTAAAAAGGAGACAGAAACATACCTGGATCTTTTCACAACAAAGAACATCAAACTTAAGGAACGAGTGCTCATACCTGTCAAACAGTACCCAAAGGTGAGCTCGCTCTGACCTTGTTTTTTTCCCCTCCGTCTTCTTCCCTATTGAATTAGTTTATCCTGAAGCCGAGTCTCAATTACATAAAGTCACAGGGTTACTTGCGAGTCTCAAATTACTCTTGTCAACCTTGATCTTTAAGCTTCTGTGTATAATTAAAGCGGAGAGTCGATACTGACATGTCTTTAAATAGTGGCTCTATTTCTTACAGTGTTCAGAGCTTGGATCCAGTGTTCAAATTAAAGTCTTACTTGATTATATCATGTGAGGTGGGTTCCTACTGAGTGTAACAGTTCATGACTTTTAGTATTAGAGTTTATATTGAGTGTATAACCTCTCCTATAACAACTCAAAGGACACCTTTCTTGTTGCGTAATTCTTCATTTGCATGTTGTTTAATTTATTTGCATAATTTTGAGTCATCAAGCTTTACATGAGCCCCTCTCTAAAGCACTCTGTAAAATATTTAGAATTCTGTTAACATTTTTACCATTGGAAAAAGTTGTCCTTCAAAGTGTTTAAACCCCAAGATAGGTGAGGTCTATCAAGCACCTCAAGCGTCAGATTAATATGACGTAGACGTTTGGTCTGTGGGGTAATAAAGCCTTCTGATCTCTACAAGGCTGTCTCGGTCTGCCAGCAAGACTTATTTTAGGTTGCTTCATCGGTCCGCTCTGACAGAGATAAAAGAAACTCATGAGTGCTTTCAGATTGTAGAAGCAAGTTTGAAAACTCCAGGAGACATTGTTTCCTTAGGGGCCACTCAGCTAAATGTGTTCTTACAATGACAGCTAATAGTAGGACATGTCATATATACTCACGGTTATTACCTTGTTCTGAAGGTCTATGAGGTAAAGAGTCGAGTATTTGATCACTAGTTGTTTCTGGTTCAGTGTTTGGATGCTTAAAGTATTTAGTGAGTGAAAGAATTACAGCCCAAAAAGAGCTCATATCGACCGTCTCTGCTAAATCTACTTCTTACGGCTGCAGGATGTGCAACAAGGCCCTTGGCAGTGATTGCTCCTTCAATCTCTCGTAATAAGCGCACCCCTGCTCTGATTGTCAGGCTAATTTTGTTCTGCTTTGTTTTGCTATTAGTTCAATTTTGTGGGGAAGATTTTGGGACCTCAGGGCAATACAATCAAACGTCTGCAGGAAGAGACCGGAGCGAAGATCTCTGTGCTTGGCAAAGGATCCATGAGAGACAAATCTAAGGTAATGCACACAAAACACACACAGTTGGTTTTACACACCTTTTTGAAAAGTGTAGAAGGCATAAAACATCTGGCCTGCACTTCAGAGGGACAGCAGGCAGACAGGGATCCCAGATGGTTTCAGTTTGCAGGATAGTTTGTGCGAACGTTAACGCAAAGCCAAGGGCATACAAGCAACACACATCTGTTCAAAGAATCTTCAGGATATCCCGCTTAACCCGTTATCTACCACTTTGTATCATTGTTAAGCACAAGGGGGTTTCTCAGCTCCCATATGTAGTCCTGAAAAGATCTACAGGAGGAGGGGGGGGGGGCTCCTGAGGTAAGATGTGACGTTAAAAACAAGTAGGAGATGAAGCAGCAGAGTCCGCTATACGATGCTATGAGAATATTAGATTAGCAGTATATCAATGCTACGTGTAGTTCAAAAGAGCGGAGAAAAACATCCTGACAAACTGAAAACATGATGCAGCCGTTTTATTATGGCACAGAGAGTGTAGCTGCTCTATGCACCATGCAGCAGTCACAGGTCCCCCCTCCCATTGGCAGGTGAATCCTCTGGAGAATATCCTGCTGCGTTCTTACATCAGCTCGCTTGGACTTGCTGCTGAAAAAAATACAAGGGGTCTGGCAGGAGAAACTGTGGGTGAAATGTGAGCGAAAAAAAATTGTCTGTTTGGGTTCACACATACAGCTCCTGCTTAAGCCTGGGGGTCTAGGGGTCCTCTTTCTGGAAATGTTGAGCATCAGACTCTTAAATTTTGTATTTTCTTTTTTTTTTGTGCACCAATCTGGCAAATGTCCCCCCCCCCTTTTTTTTTTTACGGAAAATAATTTAATTCAAATGATAAATATCTGGTACTTCCTTCACCTAATCCTCACCTTACATAATTATAATTAACCAGATTTTACAGTAATTAACTTTCTATATTTTTCCTTCAGTTTTTTTTTTTTTTTTTTTTTTAAATGATTAACCGGGGCCACAAACAGTTTTAAAAAATGTCAGGCTGATTCCATGACTCTCTGATCCTGACGGCGTCATTATGAACACAGCTTTTCATCACACGCCACAATGCTGTAACCAAGACTTGACTGCACTGAATATTATAACTTTTAGATGTGTTCTACTCTCACCACGGTGAGAAAGAGGAGAGCGTATGCATATGGGGAGAAATGCAGACCCAAAACAAAAAAAAAAGGCACATTTAACCCTGAAGCCTTGTCTTACTGTGTGTGACTCTCAGATCTGATGTATCATTTTCAATCTCAATTGCAATGTGCGCATGTGCCTAATGTCAGTCAAGAATCCGCACGCCAATCTACCACTTCTGTGTAGATGGCCAGCTTTCTCGTTTCCATTCTATACTATCTGCAGTTAAAGTCTGTCTGAAGTCACCGTCACTGGCCGCCATGCATGCAGAGTATAGACTACAGGCGATGCTGCTGCCGTCAAAGACACACCGCAATGAAATGAGTGTGTGTCCACTGTCAACAGAACACTGACCCGCTGCTCGTTGATGCTGTGGCCACATATACGGACTGTTAACAGAGCTGATGTACCGCTAATGGTTTCCTTATCATGGCTGTACCTGCAACACACACCGTGAAGCTTACTGTGGGTCACATTAACTTATAACAGCTTTAGAAATGGATGATGTATAAATAACACAATTGCAATCCCCCAAGTTGACCCAGTTTGTGATGAAAGTAGGAAGGGGTTTGGAGTTAAAATCATAAAATGTCTATTAAAAAAAAAACAAATAATGAAATGTGAAATTATTTGATTTAGAATTAAATTGATGTTCATAAAAACAAATGTAAAAGGTATCATTTTCATTATTTTAATTGCAACATATAACAGAACGAAAAATGATCCCAATCTCAGATATTTTCTCCCATTTCAAACTCCCTTATTAAACTATATAAAGGAAGGCATAATTCAAGTCTCTGCCCATTGCCCTCTAAGGTGGCTAAATTGCGATTAATTGCAGAATTATTTTTGTTGTCATGGAAGCTGATTGCTGTTTTCGACTTGCTTACACTCTTTTGGTTTTGCCCTATTTTTAGGAGGAGGGGCTGAGGAAAGGTGGGGAGCCCAAGTACGCCCACTTGTCGATGGAGCTGCACGTGTTTATCGAGGTGTTTGCCCCGGTGCCAGATGCCTACCTGCGCATGGCCCATGCCATGGAGGAGGTCAAGAAGTTCCTGTTCCCAGTGAGTCTGAATTTATTCCTTTGGCTTTTTCCTTACTGTTTTTTGGTGGGAGACTGGCTTTTGAACAGCCTGCGTGGACTAACTTTGTGATTATTTATTCAGGTCATAATTTATTCTGTCAAATTTTGACAGCACACAGAAGATGAAGCAAAGTCTTTTGACTTGTCAGAAAAGGCTTCTTCTTTTTTCAACATGTATAGCAAAGCAAATGTTTCCATTTGTGTAATTGTGAAGATATATTGTGATTGATGAAGGAGTGTTAGATCTGAGATTGAGTCAGTTGTTGTTAAGTTTAAAACTATACCCTTGAAATCAAACCATTTCTCATCCAACTATAACTTTGATTTTCAAATGGATCTGCCAAAAAAGTTAAATTAACAAGTTTTAGTCTGTGAAAGTTTTTTAATAAGCAACGGCCTCTAAGTATTTTCTAAAGATAGAGTTCATATTTAAAGAAGCTTGATTATACTAATCAATAGTCTGTATATGTAGAGAGAAAGAAACACTTGGGAATTATGAAACTACATTTGGCTATGTTTGGTATTTGTATTTTTATAATTTATTTAACATTAATAATTATTCTGAAGTACTTAAAAAAACTACAAACCATTTTATTAATAATTCAATGTCAAATTATTATAATATGTTTGTTTTAAAACACGCCATTTTTTATCTGCAAGTCGTTTTTTTTCAGACCGGAGACTTCTCTGTCTAATTACTCAGATCAGATTTTTTTGGTTTTGTTATGGAATAGGATTCAATTCACTTATCCCTCTGTGCTCTAAAAAAACATATTTACATAACTCACAATCTACAATCTCTAATTGCTCCACTTGTATAAATATTAGAGATCTTTAGTGAGTGTCATCCGTTTGAAAACTGTTGAGAAAACCTTACTGCTAGGAATCTCATCACATGTCTGTCCATTACTGTGTCTTTACATTACTGTGCTCTCAGACAGATGTGGTAGAATTCTTTCTGTATTGGCTATATGCTGAGATATCAATGTGCTGAAGCCGAGCTGCTGTTGAGCCCCATGAAAGCCTGTAGTGCTGTAACATTGGTGTGTTCTAAAACAGGCCAACAGGCCAAGGCTTTCACATGATGCCACCATTTTTTTATACTAATGCGCTGGATACGATGGAAGACAGAGTCCTTTGGATCAAAGGCAATCTAAGGGACTGATGGACCAGCTGCAAGTCTTGAAATTTGCAATGTATGGTAAAAAGTATTTTGCAGAACCTGTCTTCACAATTTAAAGCCATAATCTGTCAGGCTTGACAGCCTTCATTCGGAACAGGGTCATATTTTAATATATTACTCAGGTTTCACATAAAATGGATTGAGGTGATTTGTTGGTGGAATGTTTTATGCATTACCTGTACTCCAAAAGTAATTCAGAAGGATTTGATTCTACTGTTCTTCCTTATCCCTTTTACATAATAATATCTGTATGTCTACTGATGTAAATGCAACAGCAGCGCCTTTCTGTGTGAAACTATTGCATGTGTTTATTATTGATTCTGAGCCTTAGCACAGTTTTATTTTGGGATTGTTACTTCCAAAGAAAAGGTATTTAATCTAAGCACCTTGATGGGTAAATGGGTGTCACTTTGCTGGCTCGTTAAATGCAACTGCATTGGCAACAATTCTCTTCTGAGATGAATCTGTCATCAGTCAAATGGCTCGTGTTTGCCGGTTTGGCCGCAGATAAATTAAAAGCTGTCACTCGAGATGCATGTTGTTGTATCCGTCTTTTTCCTTATTTTCACCATCATTAGATCTCCGTCAACATTTCAGAGGTTGATTTATGAAAAAGAATTGATTGGGTCACAGTGCGGCTCTCCCTGCAGACAGGCAGTGGGTTGTGTTGCAGGATTTGAGCTGCTCAGACAGGCAGTGTCACTAATCCTCCCAATGTATTGTTTTTATGGATAGAATAAGGAAAAAGTGAACGCAGTCACACCAGACTTGTCAAGAAGTGCGGAAAGGAGTGATTTACATTTTGTGCATGATGGAGAGGAACAGGAAAGCAGGGAGTGTGGATGGATGATTTCCAACCTCCCACATCCTCGACCCCCCTGTCCCCGTCTCTTTAACACTCTGAGTCACTCAAACAGAGACTTTTTTTTTCTTTCTCTCACTCTGTCAGCCGATAGAGGGGTGCTGTGTTGTGAGCAGCTCAGTAATTGTTATCCACTCTTTTATTCATTACTCGTTCTTTCACACTGTCTCCGTTTCTTCCCCCATCTACTCCCTCTCTTTTTTTTGGTGCGCCTTCACTTGTCATGTCCCCTGTCATGTGCTCTTGTTTCTCACCCTCTCTCTCCTCTTTTTTATTTTTTTACGTGTGTGTAGGATATGATGGATGATATCTGCCAAGAGCAGTTCATGGAAATGAGCTACCTGAATGGAGGCCAGGAGCACGGAGCCCGAGGCCGAGGGGGCATGCCAGTCAGGGGCCGCGGAGTCCCCCCTTCTGGAACACACAGGTTTTTTAAATGCACACAATTCTGCACATACAGGGTTTCTTCTATGACCGCTGTGGGGTCACTACCTCAATAAAAAGATACAAGCAGTAAAGGAAGAGCTCCATTTTGTTTTTTACAATATGTGCATTTGTGGATTTACTTTTGATCAATACTGGTGCACATTCTTGACCCTTAAGTCATAAATGGTTTATTCAAAACTGCCAGCAGAGGCTATTTTCCTATATTTATCTTCAAAACATTGTCATAGGCTCCTATCTACGAAAGCAATTTTTTTTCAATACTGTCCTTGTTTTGGGCTGAAGTTTCAATGTCTCACGTCTCCTGTGAAGTGGATTGTTTGATTTGAAATGTTACAAAATATAAATATAAAAATGTTTCTGTTTTTTTTTTTTTTTTAATAGCGAGCATCAACCTCACATTTAGTGTGTATATAGTCAAAATCTAATTGGAAGCATAAATGATTACTTCAGTTTACGTAGGCCAGTGAGACACGGGTCTACATGAAACCGGTGCAGACAGCTGCAGAATTAAAATTCAAACTGATCTGTTGTGTGACACATGGGAGTAAAAAAAAAACAAATTAAACACATTTGCTGTCTTCGCAATGGAGTGAGCTTTTTTGATGTGGATAACACCAACAGTTGTTTTTTAAACCTTCTTTCTTTAATGCAATGAATAGCTGGACAACATTGGCTGACACACTTACTCTCTATCTTTCATGACGTAGATGAGAAGATCAATCTCACCTTCATGTTTGTTCAATAATTAATGTAGCTAATGCCAGGAGGCAGTTGAGTTGAAAAGATGAGTTTATGAAGTACCAGACTCAATTTATCTGATTACAATTTCTTTGATTCTCACTGATAAAACATACATGCTAGAGTAACTGGCTGTTGCATGTCTCCTTATATTAAGTAGTGGGACATGAAAGTTGTATAAATCTATTCATCTTGCTCTCGTAAAGAAAGTATCAGTTCTGATATTCTTTCCATGAACATAGTGTTAACTCCATGTCCCTGTTTTCTAGGGGAAGGGGAATGCCTCCTCGGGGAGGTGTCACTCGTGGAGGCCCAGGCAGAGGTGGGGCACTGAGGGGTGCTCCAGCAGGCCGAGGCGGACCTCCTGCTGCACCTGCCAGGGGAGCTGTGGCAGCCCGTGCTAGGCCCCCTACTGGCGGGCCCCCCCAGAGAATGGCAGCCCCCCACCAGCACGCCCCTGCTGCAGCTGCAGAGAACTATGAGGAATATGTAAGTGTATCACATCATCTAGCACATGGAAGTTTGAATTCATTCATCCGTTTAGTTTGTCTGTGGGTGTTCTCAACAAAATTAAATTACAGGTAATATTTTGTGTATAAGCTGCAATTAGTTTAATTATATTACACATAATAATAGGATTTAAAATGTTAGTATTGATTGGTTAAATATAAAAAATGAAAAGATCTAATAAGGATTTTTGCTGTTGGGACTGAAAACAGTCTCGTCCCTAAATGACACTGTTCTAGGCTGTTTGCCCTCAGAGTTAAATTTCACGTCTGGGCATGACACGAGGGGAGCGTGTCTGTCTTAGTACAAGTGAAGTTCTTTGGGGGCACCTTGACATTCATGATTTATGAACAAGCCTCTGTTTAAATCTCACTCACATTCTCTGTTTCCTTTCCTCTTCAGGGCTACGATGAGAGCTACACAGACACAGCCTACGAGTCATACGACAGCTACTACAGTCAGCCGCAGGCGTGAGTGAATCAGACGTCTCTTTGGTTTTCACCTGCTCCTCATAGAGTGCATGCACATTGCCTAGTTGTGAGGAAAAAGGATTTGAGAGAAGCAAAAATGCTTTTTCAACACTGCAAAAATGCGGTGCTGATTTTTACTCCCATGTTTCACGACTTGGATGGCGATGTGATTAAGGAGAACCAGCCAGGACTAAGATGTTCCATTCTGGAGAGTTAGCTTTGATCTTATTCATGAAAGCCAATTATCAGCCCCCTAGACATTACTGTCAGCAACTTCTTGATGTTTTCAAAGATTAAACGTTATTTTATCTTCTTCTCTCTTCCTTCTTTTGACCATCAGAGAGCCTGAATACTATGACTATGGACATGGAGAGACATCAGAGTCGTACGAGTCCTATGGTAAGGAGAAATTTGATTCATTATCAAGAAATTTGACCTACTATATATATACACACACACAGTTTGGGCAGTTTAAACATGTGGTGATATTTTTTGTCAAGGTGAAAACTGTCTTGCAATATCAGTACAGTACATAGACACAGAGCAGCAGCCATCATGAGTCTGATGTTAAACTATTTGAACTGAAATTAACAAAGAAGATGCACCTGCAACTTTAAAAATCGTTTGTCTGTCTGCAAGTGGAGGACAGACACAGATCACAGCTGATCCATGATTTATCAGTATTTGCAAAGTCCCTGATGGGGGTGGAACAAATACTTTCGTCGAAATGATGGTGAAGAAAATTGAGGATGGTGATACAGGGTAACAGACAAGACGCAAACAATGTCCAGGCAGAGACATTTATTATAAGACAATTACTAGTTAAAATGTTTTAAAATGGATTTAAAATGCATTTTTGGGGGCTGCTGTGGCTCAGTGGTAGAGTTAGTCGTTTCTCAACCGGAGAATAGGCGGTGGCATGTGAATGTGTAAGAATGGGATTTGTTTATACTGATGGTCATTCTACATAGCATCAGTGTGTGAATGTGTAGGTGTGACCTGCGATGTAAAAGCGCTTTGAATAGTCAAAACACCTGAAAAGTGCTGTACAAGCTCAAGTCCATTTAGCATTACCATTGTTCTGCATTCTGTGACTTTCCATGGAATAAAACACTATTATGTATGACTCATCCACTCGTACATTTTGTATCAAAAGTTTTTTAAAATAAGGTCTAGTCGTGTTCCTGTGAACCGAATATTATTGTATGTTTGGATCCATCTTGAATTGTTCACGTTTTCTCGTTTGTGTGTTTCCTCTCCAAGGTCAAGATGACTGGAACGGGACCCCGCGGACAGCTCCAGGGAAGGCTCCTCCTGTCTCCAGAGGTGCCAAGACGCCTTATCGGGAGCACCCATACAGACAGTACTGAAGCGGACTAAGCACCTTTAATGTGTCGCCCTGACTACCGCCTGTGTACCACGGCAGCTCTCGCTTTAAGCAGCCCGACAAAAGTAATTGTCTGTTTTGTCTTTGGTTTGGTCTTTCCTACACCGGACTTTATACGAGAGAGCAAATTGGGAACTGAAAATCCGAACTGTTTGAGATTTGAGCACAAACACCCTCCCCTACCCGACTTTGTCATTCCAACCAACCACTTATTCAACAAGCCACCATTCCTTCCTACACAAGTGGCTTTTAGATGGGTTCGAGAGAAGTCAATGTCCTTACTTTGTTCATTTTCATTTGACTTTTTGATTATTTCGCTGTATTTTTCTCCTTCCCTTTTTAACCCCCTCTGGCTTTTTTTGCATTGTTTATCTCATTTTTATTAACTGTTCAGGAAAAATAATTTCCAAGCAAAGTTAGGGGCTTATTATCCACTTGTCTAATGAATTCATGACAAATGTTTTTTAAATAAAAGAAACTGTTGAGGGTCAGTTGCAGATTCCCAATTAGGCTACATTTCAAAATTCTGTTAATATAGTGAATAAAATATCTATTTAAACTTTCATGTAATATAGAGACAAAAAAAACCTATATTAAATTAAGTGAAGGTTAAGAATCAGTGTTAATGGAATCGGAATAATTCATTCTTACTGATGGTTTGTTTTAAATAGTTCTAAAAACGTTGTCCATTTAGACTTAGGCAGCAATATTTGTCATTGTACTTAGAGTTTTGAAATATAGCCCTAATAGACACTGTTGAGATGGACTGTCCTCATATCCTCAATTCGTTTTCCTTGTTAAAAAATAAAATTAAAACCGTGAAGACATGTTTGATGATAACATGGCTGAGAGATTGCCTCCTGTTATGCTAAATCCAGTTTAGGTCTTCATTTTGTTATCGGAATCTCTATAAACTGCATGTACAAAAGTTCACAAAGAAAGGATTGGGACACAAATCTCCACATGGGTCTTCTCTTTTTCTAGAGAGAAGGGATCCTGCAGCTCAATCTGAACCTTGTACATATTTTAAAACATCCTAACTGTACTTACTCTGACACTAGTATCTGTACCCTCTCCATAAAATGCATTATGCTACATGTGTAAGCTTGCCTAAATAGGTTACTAAATCTGTCCAAAAGATGTTTTGCAGCAGTTTGTCAATAAAGCCTAGTTTGTTTTTATGAAATTTAACTTGCTTTATTTGTTTCCTGTCCTAGTCAAATTCTGAAATGGCTTTTTTAAAACAACCCTCAGCAGTCAGATGTAGGGGTTTTCCTTTTTTTCTCATTCAAAACCGCATTTTAAATCTAAATGAATGTATTGACGTCTGAAGACTTTAACCCTACTAAATGATGTCTTGATTGATTATCAAAAGAGCACAACTTATTCTTTCTCTCTCTTTCTATACTTTTTAAAAAGGACCCAGAGGTAAGACCTCTAAAATAACCTGGATAGCTTCCTAATGTGTATAGAGTTCTAAAGCATTGATTGCCTGGGTATGTATAAGACTTTTTCAATCCTCTTACCTGTGGTCGTAATCGTTAATGAGAATTCCTTTTATAGCATCTGAAAATTAACTGAATTCAAACCACTATTCAGGTCTAGGCTTCATTGTCATGAATGACCCTGGCACGATGGCTACTTTAGTACAGAGTAATGGCAGTGCAATGGAGAGGATGGTTTTAACCTAGAGAACTCCACTGTAAAGGTAACCTAACCCTAAATGTTTAATTTCGTAGTGTGTTTATCCATTGACATAAAGTTGCTGGTAAATGCGTACAGTTTCTTAAAATATTATTATAGTCATGGCAATAAAAAAAAAGAATCAACTCAAAAGTAAGAAAAAAGTAATTTCAAATATCATACTGTAGTGGATTTTATATACAAAAATAACTATTCTGTATACTAACAAAATCTTTTAGAATAGTGTTAATGCAACTCTTGCTAAAATGAACAAAGCAAAATCTATGTCAATATCTTCTGTACATTTGAGCTGCAGTTACTTTTTTTTATTTGCTGTGTAATGGTTGCATACTGTAATTTAAAAGGTTCTGCCTTTATAAAGTTATTAAAAATACAAAGCTTGAGTTGCATGAGCATATCTTCTCCTGTAGACATTGCATGATCACTGTCTCAAGTTTCTCCCCGTTTTTTTCGACAGGGTATTGATTTTGTGTTTGTCCTCCCTTCAGGCACAGTTATCGGTCACTGGGTGCCCCGGAGACTTGACAGTTTACTGACGAGAGCCCGTTTGAAACCTCAGGTTGGTCCTCTACTGAACCTATTTCTGTTTTTAAGGACTATGCTGTGGGTTTTTTGCATGATAATATCGTCACCTTCTTTTTTGTTTGTTTGTTTACTGCCATCTATACAGCGAGTCTTAAATATTGATTATTTTCCCTCATTCCAGGCAGTCATTAGTGTCTGTTGATGTTTTTTCAATATGAGCATCAATCTCGATGGCCTTGAAAATTGCATGAACTTTGAAATCCATCGCAGAGAAAAAAAACAGCTTCTATCATTATTTATGTATGCATTTATTTTGGGCGAAACATTTTTATCACTGTTCAAACAGTGTGCGGATACTTTGGGCCGCCACAGAGAAACAGACCGGTTTCCAGTCAGCAGCCGTTTCTTGATCTTTTGAAAAATAGGCTAATTGCCTTCTTGTCAATATGACTTTATAAGCAGCAGTTGGTTAGCTTAGCATAGCAGGCAGAGTGGAAACAGGGAAGTGGCAATAGGCTTGCTCTGTTTAGAGATTGACTTACTTTGCCCCCATTTAAGCACAGATGCATAAAATTGTTTTATGAATGACCACATTGATTACCGATTTGTAAAATCGTGAATCTACTTTTATCAAGCGGCAACCTCCCGTCTTGAAAAATGAAGCCAATGTGGGAGTGCAAAATCCTGCAGTTCGTCAAGTGTCTGCTTGAGGCTCCAGGAACACCGGAAGTCACAAACACATGACTGGCAAATAGTAACCGATGGCTGACGTCACTCAGGCTTTGTCCATTAATATTTACAGTCTATGACTTTTATTCGTTCTAGATTTTGGCCCTCTTTGTACAGTCAGGTAAGCTGTTTCAAGTCTCTAAGCAGACAAAGGTACAATTCTGCAAAGAAAACATCATTAAGGTGATCGTTTTAGAAACTGAATTCACTGTGAAGGTGTTTTTAGTCCCTATACTTGCAACAGTAACCTGTGCTGGGCAAGCCTTCACTGTTAAGTGTACACAATTTGTAGGTAGTGGTCTCAAACTTTCAGAACCACTGGTATGCTCCCTTAACTTTTCTAATTTCCTCCAAAGACTGATGCCTGCAGGTATTCAGCTGGGGTAAATTATGCAGCAGCAGCAAGTTCATGATATTCACAGCATTTCAAAGGTTGGCTGATTCTGATGATTGCCCAGCTCCTGTAAGTCGCCTGGCTTTTGACAGTGCCTGTTGAATTGGTGTGTGTGGCCAGGCTAGCCTTCAGCAAGTCTGAGTGTGAGAGAATGCCACGCTGGTGTCACTGTAGTCTCGGGGAAAGTGACTAATGAGGATCTGTAGCTCAAGGCGCTCTGACAGAAGGAAAAACAGGAGTGAGAGGGCTGTGGCAATTCCCGAAATGGAACCAGCGAGAGGAGAGAGTTGTCGGGGGGATTGTTCATGATGTCCTTTCTATGCCTGGAAGGCAGGATGGCTTGGAATGTATGTTTATTGGTAGAGCTGAGAAACATTAACTATGTTAGCATTTTACCAAAGGGGAGCTGGGTGATGAGCCAGTTGGGAACATTTTTTTAAAAATGTAATTGGCTGTAAAGGTCACTTGCTTGTTTGAAGATTGTGTTAAACATGGCTACCTGCAGACGTCAGACATTTTAGAAAAACAAAAGTTTCTTTGTGAATAATGTAGAACAACGGATTATTTGGAAGTTTAGATTTTGCTCTGTGAGGCGCCTGTAAAAATCTGTGTTTACTTATGAAGAATATATTCAAGTATATGATGTTTTACATCAAGTAGGAATGGTCATAAGTACTCATTTTGTACTAGTTGACATCAATAACGTTTTAACACAGGTCCAGGTACACGTGTCACCAGAAAAGAAGTGATGGACTGGGAAGTAAATTCAAGATAGCTGGTTTCCATGATATCCAAGTTTAACGCCACCTGAGACAGACAACTGCCAGATTCGCATCGCATCGTTTCCTAGCCCCGTTAGCACACATCGCTGTGATGATACCAGAGCCAAGAAGCATAGCCTGCTTGTATCAAAAAATGGTGACTGGAGACATGCCGCCATTATGTTTTGTGTGCAGGAGAAGGCTACTCTTAGCTGACAGCGTTTGTCAAGCTGGAGTACAATCCCCCCCCCCCTCGCAGCGAGTATTAGCTACGAGAATGAAAACGGTGTCATAGCAGCAGCAGGATTTAGGGTTGATTAGCAACGTGTTGACAAATAGGCTGTTATTACTGACTGGAGAACAGCTCTCACCATGGAATCATACATTACCATCACATGACATTACATTCACGAGAGACACACCGAAGAAAACCTAGTGGACCACCTCTGAGTAGCTCCTGAGTAGTGGACCGTGTTGGTCCATGTATTGCTTTTTTTTCTTTTTTTTTTATAACGGCATAATTTGCATGTAATCATTAATAACTCATTCATCAGGTAATGAGAGTACTTGAACAGTGGAATTGCTGAAATGCCCATCTCTAATAGCTAGACTTGATAGATATCTTAAAATAGATGCATCTGCTCCTTGTTGTGTTTGAAACTAAAAAAAAATATACTGAGAACTGTGACCACACTAGCTGTTACTATGCTGTAGTTTCAAAACTCTTAACAATCAGCTGTCAGATTTATCGAGATGCTGCTTTTCTGCTGTTCAAAAAGACTTTTACATTTTATAGCCACCGCTAAAATGGAAGACATTATCATTTTTTCTGTTACTCTTGTGTGTCAATAAATCACTTCAAAGCAGAGGAGGATGTTGACTTACAGCACAGGCTCTGTGTGTTTTCATGTGGGGCCCATGTCAGCATCACTCTCTTGGTTTTGTCTCCTATCCAGTGAAGCCGTGCACAGGAGCAACTCACCATGAAGGAGGTGGTCAGAAGAAGCTCTCTGGGGGAGGGAGGGGGTGGGGGGGTGCCCTGTTATTATCCTGGCTGTGAGGGGTCGGGCAGGCTGCCAAGTGACCCACAGTTGCCTGTTGGTGTAGTGCGAGGGAGAGGAGCTGGCTCAGACTCCCGCTTGGAACACAACTTAAGACTGCAGCTGGTCTGTGAAGACAGTAAGCTGGCTGGATGTCCGGAATAATGGGAGACTTCATGATTCTCAGTTTCTGTTGATGCTTTTTGTTCTATTTTTACATTTCTCAGTATTGAGTCACATCGCATTAGCCCCCTGTGATGATGCGAGGGTCCTACAAGACCACCCATTCATCCAATAAATGTAACTGTTTCAGTTTAATTTACCATAAAATGAGCCCTCTTGTCCTAACGGGCTGTGAAATTATTTTTTTTTAATTTCTATTAAGCTCTGGAGTTAGACAAAAAAAAAAATAACGCAATGCCAGCTTACTTTTTCATTCCAAAAGAATTGTGTGACATCTGTATTTGAAGGATTCCATTTGTTTCCTACTGTTGCTGCATGCTGTGTAGCTTTCGTGCCTTATTGCTGTGTGGAATTAGATTCGCTGCTCAAGAGTTAAGAGATGCCCGCAAAGTGAGGATTGCTATCTTGCTGCGGACGAGTTCACCGCGAGCTCACACAAAACACACACACACACACACACACACGCACTCTGCCACATCTTGGCATTGCATGGCCCGTGTAGCCCCCCGAGGATATCAAATGCTAATTCAGTGGCCTATTTGCATGTACTCACATGTACCCTCGCTACAAATGTGTAACGCTTTCATAAGCAACACTGGCCTGCTCGATGCTGTTCGGCATCCAAGTATGATAATGCAGCGAGATGGGCCCAGGAGGAGAGCTGCATGTGAGAAAGAGACGAAGGGTGAAGACAGACATTACAACCTCCCCCCAGCATCCATCATGCCTCTGTTGATTTGATTCCCCTTTATGCCATTTTCTACCATTACCTCTGGTGATATTACAGCTGCCTGTGGTGCAGAGTTACATTTAGAGGTCAAAACTCTACTTTCCTGTATTAAAAACACATTTCTC